CATGAAAACATGTGCAATATCATTACCTATTATGGAAATGCAAATCACACTATAGTGAGATACCACTTCATATCAATAGGGATAGATAAAATAAAAAGACTGTAACAGTCCTGGTGAGAATGTGAAGAAATTGGAAACTCATACATTGTTGGTAGGAATGTAAAATGGTGCAGCCACTTTGAAATACATTTGATAGTTCCACAAAATGTTAAAATAGAGTTACCATATCACCCAGGATTCTACTCCTACATATATACTTCAAAGAATTAAAACGTGTTCGAACAACAGCTTTTGCACAAATGTTCATAGCACCATTATTCATCATAATCAAAAATGAAAGCAACTCAAATGTTCATCAACAGATGAATGAATGAATTAATGTGATATACCATCTAATGGAACATTAATAGGCAGTAAAAAGGAATGGAGTACTGATACATGCTGCAACATAGATGAACTTTGAAAACATTATGTTAAGTAAAAGAAGCCAGTCACGAAAGAACACATGTTGTGTGATTCCATTTGTATGAAATGTCCACAATAGCCAAATCCATAGAGCCAAGAAGGTAGATTAGTGGTTGCCAGTTACTGGGTAGGGTGAGGTTGGTGGTGGAGTAGAATATGTAGTGATTGATAACATACAGGTTTTCTTTGGGAGATGGTGAGAATATTCTAAAACGTGATGGTTGCACGACTCAGTGAATTTACTAATATAACTGGACTGTATACTTTAAAGAGGGGGTGAATTTTGTGGCATGTGAATTATATCTCAATAAAACTGGTATCTAAGAAAGTGTAACTATTTTCATTTAGAGACAAAGCACCATTTTTCTGTGGTGGAAGAGGTCCACTGTAATCAATGTTTCCCAAGTGGATGTCTGGTACCCCCGGATGGTGCCATATTAGGGTCTTAGCACTGGCCTCTGCTGTTGGCAGGTTCTGTACTCAGCTGTGACAGTAGTCAGATCAGGTTGGTAAGGAGAGTCAATATTGTTGCACTCTTGCATAGCTCTGTTCTTGCTTCCCTGGCCACTTTACATGGGCTCACTGAGCAAACATTGGGATTGTTGGGAGGAAAAACTGGATGATATCTACAGAGATGGTCGTCTTTTGTCTCCCAATTATTGAGAGTTTCCTCTGTGGCAGACGCCCCCAGTAGGTACACTCACTATCTGAATATATAGATATGGGCCATTTAGAAGGGAATGTGTCCTAGTAGCCTTTAGATGTCAAGATCCTCCCAGTGGTTGGAAACAGGCAAGAACTTGGTCTCACGTTCATGGGTTTGAGCCACGCAATGGGCTCTGCGCTTGGGATTCTGTCTCTCTCTCTTTCTGCCCCTTACTCACTTGCTCTCTGCCTCAAAATAAATAAATAAACTTTTGAAAAAGTAATTGAGATGACCAGACTTCTGTACAGACAGGGAGGGGCTCAGAGAGCCAAGCTCTGAATAATTTTTTAAAAAATGTTTATTTGAGAAAGAGAAAGAGGGAGCATGAGTGGGGGAGGGACAGAGAGAGACACAGAGAGAAAGAATTCCAAGCAGGCTCTGTCTTATCAGCGCAGAGCTGGATGCGGGGCTTGATCCCACAAACAATGAGATCATGACCTGAGCTGAAATCAAGAGTCAGAATGCTTAACTGACTGAGCCACCCAGGCACCCCTATGAAATGTTTACCTAACCCAAGATTACCCCTTTATTCCTATTTTTCTGACAATATTTTATTTCATGTATTTTAAAAATAATCTCTACCTCCAACATGGGGCTTGAACTCACAAACGCTTGGACTCACAACCCCAAGATCAAGAGCTGTAAAGCTCCACCAAATGAGCCAGCCAGGTGCTCCTCTAACAATATTTTAAATTTTATTCTTTGCATTTTATTTGTTTGTTTGTTGTTTGTTTATTTATTTATTTATTTATTTATTTATTTATTTATTTAGAGAAGGTGAGCAGGGGAGAGAGAGAGCATTGCTGAAATCAAGAGTTAGATGCTTAACTGACTGAGGCACCCAGGTGCCCCTTATTGTCTGCATTTAAATGTTTTATCACTAGCATTTTCCTTTTTCTATTTCTTAGTAGGAAAAACTGGAACGTATTAAGTAGATAGTGGCAGAAAAATAATTTCAAAGTCTTTAAACCACTAAAACATTAAATAATCAATATTTTACTTTGCAGCTACAGACTATTCCATATTTTTTTCCTATTTTTAAATAAAGTTTTAATAATTTTAGGTTTTGCATTTTGATTTGAACCATTCTGACTTCATATTTTGTATATGGTATGAGGCAAGGGTAGGTTGTTTTTGTATATGGATGTCTGCTACAGACTGAATATTTGTGTAACCCCAAAATTTGTATGTTAAATCCTAACATCCAATGGTGTTTGGAGGTGGGACCTTTGGGAAGTGTTTAGATCATGTGGTGGAGCTGTCATGAATGTGGTTAGTTCCATTATACAAGAGACCCCAGAGGGGCGCCTGGGTGGCTCAGTTGGTTAAGTGTCCAACTCTTGATTTTGGCTCAGGTCATGATCTCAGGGTTCATGAGTTTGAGCCCCACATTGAGTTCTACGCTGACAGCGCAAAGTCTGTTTGGGATTCTCTCTCTCCCTCTCCATCTTCCTCATTCTCTCTATCTCTTAGAAATAAATAAACATTTAAAAAAAGACACCAGAAATCTCCTTTGCACCTTATGTCATGTGAAAACATCTTTTTATGAACCAGGAATAAGGCCTCACACCAGACACCAAATTACCTGTGGTTTGATCTTAGACTTCCCAGATTCCAGAACTGTGAGAAATAAATGTTGTTTAAGCCACACAGTCTATAGTATTTCTGTTATAGCAGCCAGAACTAAGACAACATCTAATTGTTCCAGAATCATTTATTGACAAGTATCTTTTTCTCCATCGAATTACTTTGGGATCTTTAAAAAATTTTTTTTGTTTACTTATTTTTAAGAGAGAGTGCGAGTGGGGGAGGGGCAGAAAGAGAGGGAGACACAGAATTCAAAACAGGCTCCAGGCTCTGAGCAGTTAGCACAGAGCCCAACACAGGGCTCGAACTCATGAGCTGCAAGATTATGACCTGAGCCAAAGTCGGACACATAACCGAATGAGCCACCCAGGCTCCCCACTTTGGGATCTTGTTAAAAAATGAATTGACTATATATATGTGGATCTATCTCTGGAATGTCTGTTTTATTCCATTGATCTATAAGTCTATCCTTATGCCAGTACTACACAGTCTTGATTACTGTAGCTTTAGTTAGTCTTGAAGTCAGGCAGTGAGTCCTCCAATTTTATTCTTCATTTTCAAAATATTCTGGCTATCTTATGTCCTTTGCGCTTTCCATATAACTTTTAGAATCCCAGTTTTCTGGGATTTCTATTGGGATGGCATCGACTTTACAGATTAGTTTTAGAGAGAATTTATTTCCATATTAACACTATTGAGTCTTCTAATCCATGAACAATTATCTGTTTAAACTCAGGGCTCCTGATCCAATCAATTTATTAAGCACATGTGTAAAGGGCAGTGTAAGGGATATCAGGATGAATAAGAAAGTGTTTTGATCAAAGTACATACTGGTGGGTTAAAGAAAATGCCTAACATTGAGAGTTTTTAATTTTTTTAAGAGTACTACTAGTACCGTTTTCAGTTGGAATTAGTTTGCAATGGAAAGGGGTATTTTCAGCTTGAAACTCAGTTGTGTAACCTCTGTGATTATGTGTGGACAGGTCTTTTGATTTTATATAACTAGCCAGCCTGGAGACTTTTTAGAAAACTCACACTAAGAAAGGTGTATGTAAGTTTAGACATGGTTTACCTGGGGTACTGTAGTGTAATATTCAGTTCAAATCATCATCTACTGTGTGCTCCATAGATTAGTCTCAGGACACAGGCCCCTAGCGGACACCTAATATCCGAGTCCTTTGAAGAGAGAAAAAAAAAAAAAACAAAAACAAACTCTAAGCACATATAAAATGAACTAAAAATGGTAATGACTGTGCTCAGAACTATGTAATACAGGGAGGCCCAAGTAGCTGTGTGGGGCACTACCATCTGAGCAGGCACAATTCTGAAGTTGGGAGAGGGGTTTTATCCACACTCCTATGGCAGTCCAGTAGGTACTTTGGCCCTTTGGGGACTATAGGGAATCAGAGGGGCTTTGTCATCATGAGGACTCCATGTCAATAGCTGTTAGCAGAGGATACAGAGCAGAGCAGAACAAGAATGCCCAGCAGATATCCAGAGAAAGATGGCATCCTCTTCTCAGCTGCTTGGACTTGTTCCTAGGCACAGGTGAGACCTAAAATCAGCCCTCTCCTGAGTGTCTGGCAGTCCAGGGTCCTACTATTGCAAAGGTGCCAGCCCAACATAGCTCACATACTCAGTATCCCATCTGATCCACTCAGCAATCTGTGAGGTTAAGTTTTATTCCCATTTCACAGATGACAAGACTGACTTTTACAGCACTGGATCTGTTGTTATAACCACCAGGTTGATTTCTCTAGCTATGAATCCCAGAGATAACACAAGTTTTACTTATCATTTTACATTCTGGAAGGCACGGGAATGGGCACGCTCACAGAGGAATGGCATGGAGGGGTCAGGTGACTGGACTTATGTTTGAGTACAGATGAGACCTATTTTTGGCTACCACGCAGGAAAAACCATCACCTAATTTTTAGCGTACACATTTCAGAACTTTCTCTATGCACAAAGCCATTATGCAAACATTTATATATTTTTAAAAAAGTTTTTAATGTTTATTTTTTGAAAAGGAGAGAAACAGAGCACAAGCAGGGTAGGAGCAGAGAGACACAGAATCTGAAGCAGGCTCCAGGCTCTGAGCTGTCAGCACAGAGCCTGATGTGGGGCCCAAACCCATGAACTGTGAGATCATGACCTGAGCCAAAGTCAGATGTTTAACCGACTGAGCCACCCAGGTGCCCCAAACATTTATATTTTTACAAAAATGGGCCGATACTGTATATGTGGTTCTGAAAACTGTTTTTTCTTTATTGTTATTTTACAATGTACCATGAACATCTTTTCCATGCACATGGGTGAAAATCCCCTACTAAAAGACAGAGGACACTGTAGTTGGATCAAAAGGCTGCTGGTAACAAGAGTGACACCTAAAGCAAAGTATCAGCCTAAGTTTAAAGCACATAGCCTGGCAAATGCCTGCCAGGAAAAGCAGGATCAGCAATATTCTCATTAGAGAAATCAGAAATGAACGCCAAAGACATTAAAGATACGGGATATCATGTAAGCCCCTTTGGCCCCTACCTCCGCCCCTCATTCCCCTGACACCCCGTTGCCCCCTTGGGGCAAAGGGATCCTGTACATCTCTTTGCATCCAATGAAAACCACCCATTTTCTGTTTTTTCCTTAGCTCTTCCTGAGCCCTTGACACATCTCCACATTCTCTCATCATCTCCTCACTGCCCAAGTGCCTTTCCTGTAAGTCCTCCTGATAGTCCTTGGGGGAATCGTCTGTCCCCCTGTCCGTTTTTCTTTTTGCTTTCCTAGGCACATAATCTTCAGCTGGGCGCTTTTCGGCAGCCCGCGACTCACTCTCAGCCTTTGCCAGGGATTCTGGCTTGCCCTCACTGTGTGGTTTTCCCTCATTTTCAGACTTGCCCTGCTTTTCTTGCTTTCCCTCATCTTCTGGTTGTCCCTCATCATCTGGCCGACCCTCATTCTGGAGCTTTCCCTCATGCCCTGGCTTCCCCTCCACTTCCAGCTTTTCTTCCTCATCTGATTTTCCTTCATCTTCTGTATCTACTTCATCTTCTGGCTTTCCCTCGATTTCCAGCTTTCCTTCATTTTCATTGTAGAGTTTTTCCATGTTGAGATTTCCCCTTCTTTTCCTGTACTGGGGGGTGTGGTGAGGTGGTAAGGGGAAGAGAAGATAAAGAAGACAAGGGAGACTGAGGGCTTGGAGGTGGAATGCAGGTCCTGATAGTACTGGCATCTTTCCCCTTGGCTGGGGTCCTTTGACCTGGCCCAGCCCTCCAAGTGTGTCTTCTGCCCACCCTCTACCCCACAATTCATCCCACACTTGAGAGCCAACCATTTCCTTGGCAGGCCCTACCATCTTCTCTACCATCCTAAAGCGTGGTGGGGTGTGTGCAATATATGTGGTGGGGGATGGGCAGTGGGGCTCTCAAATTCTGCCCAAGCTGTGCTTTCTACACCCTCCCCTCACTGTTTTTGTCCAGTGTCCCTCCCTCCTTTCACTCACCCGCAGGGATTCTGAACAGGTTCTTCCTATTTTTCTAGTCTTGCAGAATGCTGGGGACAGACACACAGACCTGCAGACAGACAGAAGACAGGGGCAGGACGTCTCAGCAATTTGCTCTCAGCAAATTGATGTTTCTTTCCTGAATCTGGGCCCTCCTCATGCAACATTTCCCTCGCTTACCTCCCCCGCATCCCAGCCGCCATTACTTTCCAGGCCTCAGGCTCCAGACCAGGATGCTGTCCAAACTGTTTGGATCTCTGTGACCCCCTCCCCTGCAGACAAGCCGCCCGCCCTCACCCTCTTTTTGCGGAGGTCAATATTTCCACTTAGGTGCAGAGTGTGAGAGGGGGTTATTTCTAGAATATGTCTGTCTACATTTCACTGTCGCACTGCGGGGGCGCCCCCCTCCCATTTCAGGTCCAAAAATGTATGGAGAGCGCAGAGGAGGGGCGTCGAGGAGGCGACAGAGCCTGCTGCAAGATGCTCCCTCCTCACCTGCCCACCTCCCCGCCGCGTCCCCCTCCTCCCCAACCTTCCGGACCCCTCCCCACCGCGCGCTGCTCCCAGATCCTACTCCCATCCACCTCCACCCCTGCCCGGGCCGCCGGCAGCACCACCCTCACACCGACCTGCGGGACCTGCGGGGCCCGGGCCAGGCCTGCGCCTCCTCGGGCTCGCCGAAGCCCGCTGGCCCTTCGCCCGCCGCCCGGGCGGCTCAGGGAGCTGGTTCTGCGCGGGCGACGGGAGCGGACAGCGCAGGCACCGGACCGCAGGGTGGGTGAGCAGGCGGGCGCGGGGGCTGCTGCCCACGTCGGCGCCCGACCGGTCACGTGAGCGCCGCGTCACCCAAGCTCGGTTCCCCACCCCGCTCCGCCCCCTCATCCCCATCCCATAGGGACCAGCCAGCCACAGACGGTGGGGAGCAGTGTGGCAAAAGGGGGTCGCCGAGAGGGCAGCCCAGAGGCTTCTTTACCGCAGGTGCTTTACCTGGCGCACATCTCAGGTCCTCACACAGCATCCCTCTGAGAGGTACGTCATTGCCAGGTGTGACAGCTGATCGCAGGGAGGGTACCCGACTTTGCCGAGAGCACTCAGCAACGGAATCCCACAGGCTGCTTTCAAGACAGGCTCTGCCAGACTCCAGAGCTCTGGTGGTAGTGTCCGCCAAAGTAGAGCTGCCACCTTGAGTAGCTGTGTTCCTGGGCCTCCTCTCTCCTCAGTCCACACGTTCTCTCTCCCTGAATTATTTCTGTTCATTTCCCTCTAAGCACAGATGATTCTCAAATCTCCATCACCAGGCTATCCTCTCCCTTGAGTCTTAGACCCGTGTTTTGCTTTCCTACCAGCAGTATAGGAGAGTGCTTGTTTCTTCACACCTCCTCCAACATGTGTTAGAATACTTCTTTTCACTAACATGATCTCAATGGTATTTTACTTTGCATGTTTATTGAGTTTTAATATCATTGTAAATTGTCTGTTCATGTGTTTTCTACATTTTTCTATTGGGTTGGTCCTTCTCCCCTCAGGTTTCAGTATTCTTTTTACATCAATTATATTATGCCTTTATGTTATATATGTTGCAAATATTTACTTCGAGCTTGTGAGTTGCTTTTCTTCTTTGTATATAATATATTTCTGCCATGCATAAAAAAGTCAAATTTATCAAACTTTTCTTTTATTGAATCTAGATTTTGATTCATAGTTAAGAATTCATTTCCTACATGAAGTCAGAGAGGAATTCACCCATGTTTTCTTTTAGTACTCATATGGTTAACTTTGTCTTGAGAGCATCTTTGGTTAAGAATAGAAGTTAAGTGATACAACAGTGCCAAACTGAGTTGAATCTACTGCTGACTCAAGACACTAGAGTAACAAAAATCAAACCCAAGGCTTATTACAAGGGGGGGGGGAGTTTCCTAACAAACCATCACCCATATGATACTAGGAACCTCAAATGTTTCAGTTAAAGGGTAAGTGTAAATTGGAAATAAACTAGCTCTCATAAAGTCTTTTAGTTTGGCTTTGCAACATCTAGGTGGACTAGTAAACTTTAAGCTTTGAATAGATTATGGTGGTTCCAGCCAAGAAGAACCCTTATAAGCCCTGACCAAGGAAAACAAAATCTCTGGAGTAAGCATACATCATCCTAGGCCCCAAATTATTTCAACCAACAATTGTTCACGTACAATGTCCACAGAGAGAGATGACCAGGAATATAAGAAAAAAGGACATTATAAGTAAGAAGCAGTAGAGACAACAGCCAACACAAATCCGTTGGCCTTCAATTATCTGAATCATCAGATAAAGATTATTAAACCACAATGCTTAGTGAATTCAGATTAAAAAAAATCGAAATCTTGAAAATTCAACAGGAAGCCAGAAATCAGAAAAAGTGAAAAAAGGGAATTCTAAAACTACAAAAACACTTTGCTGAAATTAGAATCTCAATGGATGGCTTTAGTATCAGATTAGATGTGGCTCAAAAGAGAATTAAAGAACTACAAATTATTTCAGAAGAAACTATCCATAAAACTGCACAGGTATTCAAAAAGATGGAAAACACAGATGGGAGGGCATGATCAAGATCTAACAAATGTTTACTTGGAGTTCCAGAAGGAAAAGAGAAATGGAAGTGTTCAGAGGCAACTTTTGAGAATACAACTGAGGATTTTTTCAGAACTGATGAAAGACATTGATCCATAGATCTAAGTCCAAGAAATCCCAAACAGGATAAAAAGAAACTCACACATAGATGCATAATAGTGAACTTGCAGAGAATCAAAGAAAATCACAAAAGTATCCAGAAAAAATAGAGTATGCCTTGAAAGGAACAAAATTTAGGCTGATTGATAGCTTCTCATTAGCAACAATGGAGGTATGAAAATGGTAGAATGATGGCTTTAATGACTTGAAAGAAATGCCAGCCAAAAAATTGGTAACCAGCAAAAATACCTTCAAAATTGAAGGTGAAATGAAGACCTTTACAAATAAATAAAAACAGGTTTGCCATTGGCAGGCATGAACCAAAGAAAGTATTGAATGATACTTTCATTCTTCAGATAACAGGAAAGTGATCCCAGATGGAATACTGGAGATAAGAAAGAGAAAAGAGAAAGATAAAATGACAGATATGTATGTAAATTTAAATCAATACTACATAAAAATAGTAATATCTTGTTAATTCATATCGACAAATAACATATGAGTCAAGAGAGCTGGAGTAAATGTATTTAAAATTCTGGCATTATTTGGGGAGTCTATTAAAAGTACAAAATTAGTATTAGCCTTTGATAAGCCAAGACTGTAGGCTATAATTGCCAGAAAACCATTAAGGAAGAGTAAAAGTGTAAAACTTCTAAGCTAATAGAGGGGCAAAAATAAGAAAATAATCCTAAAGGAGAGAAAACTAACATAGGTCAGACAGGACACAGAGATGGAACTTGGTACAATGGTTAACTTATATCTATTAATATCAGTAAGTACATTAAATGTAAGTGGTTTATATGATGCAATTAAAAGAAAGATTTTCAGACTGGAAAAAAGACAATAATATACCGTTTAAAAAAGACATCTGAAATATAAAAGTACATAGAGACTGAAAGTAAAAGTAGAAAAAATTATAACATGAAAACACTAACCAAAAGTCATTGTAGTTAAATAACAAAATAGACTTTAAAGCAAAAAGCATTACAAAACATAAGTGTTACTTTATGATATTAAAAAAAAATTAAGTTTTTTAAAAATGTTTATTTATATTTGAGAGACAGAGAGAGACACAGCATGAATGGGGGAGAGGCAGAGAGGGAGGGAGACACAGAATCTGAAGTAGGCTCCAGGCTCACAGAGCCCAATGCGGGGCTTGAACTCACGAACTGTGAGATCATGACCTGAGCCGAAGTTGGATGCTTAACTGACTGAGCCACCCAGGCGCCTGTAAAAAAAAAAAAAATTTAATGTTTATTTACTTTTGAGACAGAAAGAGAATGAGAGCGGGGGAGGGGCAGAGAGAGTGAGACACAGGATCCGAAGCAGGCTCCACGCTGACAGTAGAGAGCCCGATGTGGGGCTCAAACCAACGAACCATGAGATCATGACCTGAGTTGAAGTTGGACACTAAACCAATTGAGCCACCCAGGTGCCCTGATATTTTAAAACTTGTATGCACTTGGGAATGCAAACTGGTGTAGCCACTCTGGAAAACAGTATGGAGGTTCCTCAAAAGGTTAAAAATAGAACTACCTATGACCCAGCGATTGCCCCAGTAGGTAGTTACCCAAAGGATACAAAAATACAGATTTAAAGGGATACACACATCCCGATGTTTATAGCAGCATTATCAACAATAGCTGAAACTTAAGGAAAAAGCCCAAACGTACACTGACTGATGAATGGATAAAGAAGATATGGTAAACACACACACACACACACACACACACACACACACACACACACACAATGGAATATTACCCAGCCATCAAAAAGAATGAAATCTTGCCATTTGCAATGATGTGGATGGAGCTAGAGTATATTATGCTAAGCAAAGTAAGTCAGTCAGAGAAAGAGAAATACTGTATGATTAACTCATATGTGGAATTTAAGAAATGGAACAGATGAACATAGGGGAAGGGGAAAAAAGAGGGAGGCAAACCATAAGACACTCTTCACTAGAGAGAACAAACTGAGGGTTGCTGGAGGGGAGGTGGGCAGGGGATGGGCTAAATGGGTGATGGGCACTGGGTGTTATATGTAAGTGATGAATCACTAACTTCTACTCCTGAAAAGAAATAATAAAATAAAAAATAAAACTTGTATACTTATTAAATTGACCTGAAAATAAATAAATCAAAATTTTACAGAACTACAAGGAGAAATAAATCTTCCATTTTAGCATTAACACTCCTATCTCTGTAACTGTTGAAATATTTAAAGTGTTGAAAGAAAAAACCCACCAAACTAAAATTCTATGTCCAACAAAATTATCCTTCAAAAGTGAAGGAGAAATAAAGACTTTCTCAAACAAAAACTGATGATTAGCAAACCTTCCCTTAAAGAAATGTTAAAAGACTTTCTCCAGGCAGAAGAAAATTGATATAGGTCAGCAACTCAACTCTTCCTAAAAAGCAGTTGAAGTGGAACAAATGATAGTAAAATGAAATAGTTTTTTTTAATTCTTAAATAATTTAAAAGATAAATGTCTAAAGTAATAATATTAACAATATATTGAGTGATTATACCATATGGATAAGTGAAATGAATGATGAACACCCTGTAATAAGGTGCCTATACAACATATAAATGAGGCAGAAGAACGTTCTTTGAAAGTGATCCTAGTTAAAAATGTATTTTGTAAACTTGAGGGAAATCACTAAAAACATTTTTTAAATAAATATAATTGATACACTAAGAGAGAAGACAAATGGAATTATGTAAAATACTCAAAACTAGAGAAGGCAGAAAAAGAAACCTCAGAAATAAACAGAAAAGTTATAAACATGGTTGATATTAATCCAATTATATTTTATTTATTTATTTATTTATTTATTTATTTATTTATTTATGAGAGCGTGGGAGGGGCAAAGAAAAGAAAGAAAATCTTAAGCAGGCTCCACACTCAGCACAGAGCCTGACACGGGGCTCAATCTAACAATTGTGAGATCATGAACTGAGCCAAAATCAAGAACCAGACACTTAACTGAGCCAACCAGGCACCCTTGGACCTTTTTTAAAAGTAAACTCTATGCCCAATGTGAGGCTTGAACTCATGACCCCAAGATCCAGAATCTCATGTGCTACCAACTCAGC